TTTTTAAAATCTTTTGTGTAATGACGACCATCTTACAAGTTTTTTAGGGAAAGCCTTAAAAATAAGCTGCAAAGAAATTCAAACGCAGACAATACAAGAACCCTATGTTACTGTATGAGTTTCAACAGACCTATTGGTAAAAAATTTTATCTGAGGAAACATGGCTGCTTGCATTGGGTCTTATTATTTGATCCTGCAGGATAAGGATGTTGCAATAGACATTTACTTTTACGTCATTGACTTTTACGTCAACCTCCATCAGTACCAGAGTTAGTATGATCAATCTTCTAAGGCCAACTTAGTGTTCAAGAAGAAAGAAACAGACTTAAAGGTATAGTGGAGGATGTTCTTTTTCCAGTGGGATCATCAAAATAAGTGGTCTTCCTAATTGTGAATCCTTCTGGTTATATGTTTTAGTGATATGTTTACGTAAGGCCGTCCTACATGCTCGTCCCCATTTTTACTTACCGGTGGTGAGTCTGACATAGTGGAAAAATTGAAAATCTTCTTTTGGAAAGTAAGCTTGTATGAGTGATGCAAACAGCAACTTTTAAACAGAGTGTACAAGAGGAGAAATGGCATTGTGTATGCTCTCTCAGGCATTTAATAGGCGTTCCCCCTCGGGGACAGGTACAGGGTTGCGCATGTGCATTTTATTTAAATGGAGAGGGCAGGTCTTTTCAAAAAATCGCAAAAATCCTCCACGATACCTTTAAAAAAGGAGCAAGGGTGCACTTGATCCGTTAAGTACTCTCTACATCCGAGAAGGTAATGGTAAACCGCCTAGGAAAGGAGGTGAGATCTGAGACAGTCTTCATGTCAATAAAGATGAAAGAGAGCATATGTATGTGTGTATGTGGTTCTTGCTGCAAAAGCAAGGCTCTAAAACAAATCCAATTTTTACCTACAAACTTCGCAGGCAGGACTAGAAGCTGACAGAAATCAGATCAACTTTTATAGCTGAAATCTGAAATCAGAGATTTTAATTGTTTAATTAAAGATTACATTGATTCTAAAACGTGGCAGAAATTGTCAGTCGGCAAGATGAAAAGTATATATAAATATATATATATATATATATATATATATATATATATATATATATATATATATATATATATATATATATATATATATATATATATATATATATATATATATATATAGATGAGTTGAGTTGCTTGGAAATGTCTGTGGGGATTTCTGTGAAGCCGTCCATACGAGGAGCTAAGAGAGTGGCAGTGTTATTGGCCTCTTTCCTTCAGCTCATGAGAGAGAGAGTGAAGCACCCAATCTATCAATGCTGATAGGACGAGAGCAGCTATTAATAAAGTCTCTCTATTGTTTTCAACTTGTTTAGCAGTGATCCAGAGTAAAGATGAGCTTTTTAATCTGTATCCCAAGGGTACAGTGCTAAACAGACAGGCAGGCTGTGTGGCCAAAAGACCAGACTCATTTGGCTTCAGCGCGGGTAAAAAAAGCACTAAATATCTGAAGTGTCAAACATAAAGGTCAGTTGTACGACTATAAAACCCGTTTAGAAATACTGAGCAACCCAAAGGTATGGGTTTATTCAAGCTGAACGTGACAAGTTTGGTTAAAGTATTTCTGTTGTTCAGCCAAACACAGACAGAAAGCATTAAATAAATCCCTGCAGCATGAGTGATATGCGAGGGTACGCCGAGCTGCAGAACGCACGGATCACATCAGACACGGTTTACATGATACTAACTGTGAAAAGGCTTCTCGTCCTGATATCATCTAGGCTTCAGTTACACCTCTCGAGTTTCCTCTTATTATAAGGTCTATATAAAGCGAACTTGATCAGAAAGTCAATAATCAAAAGTCCTTCTGATCATTTTGGGAGATCCAAAAATGATAACACATTTCATTTAGCTCTGACAGTTTATGTTAAAGGAATAGTACACCCAAAACATGATTAGCCTTCATTTTCTACTCACCTCCATGCTGAACAACACTCTGGAGTACTTTTTTGATATCTCAAATGCATCTGGAGATCTGGGAGGCTTCTTGCTGTCTGCTGACATTCAAATAATGGAGGTCTATGGCGCCCGAGACAGAAAGGTCCACAAAAGTCCACAAAAACTTGTCAATATTCCTCCATACTGCTCGTCCAATGTAATCCAAGTGTCCTGAGTGGGTAGCATCCAGAATTTACTCGAAACGAAGTCATTTAGAACGTTTTAGAGCCTAAACAGTAGTGTATAGGATTTCCTAATAGCGCCCCCATGCGCGCTCACGATTCTACGGAAGCCGGCAGACCAAACCAGCGCATTCAGCTCGGCAAAGAACTCATGCTCTTCCTCAACACTGAAGTCCTCAGACATTTTTCTTTCGTTGTTTCTTTCTTTGCACAGGTAAACAGCACATTTCTTCTTCTACGCTTGCATTATCGGCAGACCAGACGCTGAATGCGCACTTCCTTCCGGTTTGGTCTGCCGGCTTCCGTAGAATCGTGAGCGCGCATGGGGGCGCTATTAGGAAATCCTATACACTACTGTTTATGCTCTAAAAACATTCTAAATGACTTCGTTTCGAGTAAATTCTGGATGCTACCCACTCAGGACACTTGGATTACATTGGACGAGCAGTATGGAGGAATATTGACACGTTTTTGTGGACTTTTATGGACCTTTCTGTCTCGGGCGCCATGGACCTCCATTATTTGAATGTCAGCAGACAGCAAGAAGCCTCCCAGATCTCCAGATGCATTTGAGATATCAAAAAAGTACTCCAGAGTGTTGTTCAGCATGGAGGTGAGTAGAAAATGAAGGCTAATCATGTTTTGGGTGTACTATTCCTTTAAGGTTTGAATCTGTTTTATTCCAAATAAATGGCTTCTCCTAATTTATCCTATTTTTTCCAACCCAAAGAATCGCTCTGTGTTATGCCTTGTATGGTACGTAGCAAATATGTTTTCAATACGCTGAACTTTCTTACGTTTTGTGATGTCACAACCACACCCCCCACTGTGTTTGAGTGGTAGTGAAAGAAAAGTGATGCATTGTTATTAAATGCTTAAAGATGCAAATCTAAAAAGTTTGGCCTCCATTTGTTTTCAGCCTCAACATCAAAATGGTAATAAAAAACAAAATGTGCTGCAGTTACAGCTTTAAGACTTTAGATGCTAGAGTAGTGGCCTATTCTACTATTCAAAACAGCTTAATTTGACTGAAATGGGGTAGGGAGAGAAGAAGGTTTGGATTTTACCTTGGCAATTCTAACTCCAAACCATGCTTTAATGCATTTCCTTGACTGTACCTTTAAGTTAGTAATACTTTTGTGAATTCATCCTCCACCCCAGCCTCAGGTCTCTTCTTTTTGCTTACATTCAACTCAGCATAATGCTTCCAACTCCGTGTTTTATGATGTTTTACAAAATAAATCCAAGTATTAATTTGAAATGTTTGATTCTAACCTGACAAAATACAAAATTATTCAAAGGGTGTAAGCACCTTTAAGCAAAAACCACGTAATACGTCCCCCTTCTTAGTATCCTCTCTTCATTCAACCTTGAAATAACTACATTATACACAGTGGCCTCCCTTTTACCTAATTATCCTTGATTAGCACCACCTCAAAGTGATCACGTGAAGGTGTACGATCAGATGTCCAATACAACACCATTGGGCCAAAGTGTTCCTCCACCCGTTCAACCTCAAGAACTCAAATTTCTCCTTCTATTTATTTGAAGTGTTGTATTAAACTGACTTTTGCCAAGTTGCGATTTTTCATCAGGAGTGTGGAATTATCAACACATGCCAAAGAATGAACTGCTGCCTTTATTTAACAGGCCACCACAGCACTTCACATACCGGAAAAATCCTCAGATTCATATGTAATGACACTTTTACACACAGCCCATCTCCGAGATGGAATGCAGCCTCTGGATAAAGAACTGCAAGGTGAGGTTTTAAATACAATTAAAATGAATAGGAGCTATGAATTTAAGAATTCTGTTGGTTTCTAGGCAGTTTTTGCAATCAGGAATTACATCAACATGAAACAGTAACTTGCGTTCTGTGCATAACATTGTAAAATGTTAATTTAGGAGGGTCATAAAGTTTCCCCAAAAAGGTCAAGTACTCATGCCAGAATCATAAGGAGGTGCATGGAGCTTGGCAAGAAATTCTCTGACAAACAAGATGGGACATTAAGTACTAAATGTGCCATGGGATCACAGTTTCCAACCCCGTCAGCAGCCCTTGCAGCACTGCAATTTCAGAAACTATCAGGCTTTATTTCAAGTTTATTTACTCTTTCACCACTTCACTAAGTAACCCTCCCATTCGGCACTTCCTTCCAAAAATGGAGAAAATTCCTGAAAGTTAGAATATGTTTTTTTTCTACTTCTTTGACAGACTGGCGGATATCTGCCACCATAATTGCTTCCTTATTTGGTATATTAAATATTTACACTTGGCCCTTCCTAATTCCGATTTTATGAGAGATTGTAAAGTATATTAAGGAAAAAGACATTTATTTTAAAAGCACCGCTAACTCGGACCATCATCCCCAAATGGTTTATCTGGAGCATCTAAGAGAAATGGTTTATGCTTTGAAGAAAAAAAAAATCCCTTTAGCTGTATGTGCATGGCGAAATTCCATCAACTTCTCATATAATGGTCTGACATACATGCTCTGCACACCACAGAAATCTCTCAAGCTGACAGGAGGAAACAGACACGACCATTGAGAAAACCTGCAGCTTGTACTTTCAAGGATTCCACAAAGGAGATGAGGGGAGATGGAAGAGCGTGGTGGGAAATATGCCCCGGGCAAAAGAGCTGCCTAGAACAAGGAGTGCTTTGGAAAAATGCTGATATTTCATGCAGGGTAGGACCACTGTGAGACTAAATCAGTCACACAAAGAAAACATAGCATGAGTGTGAGGGTTACATGACACAGTTGATAGTCGAATGGGGATGCTTTGCTAGAATAAGTGTTCTCATCGACAGATGTCCCTATACCATCCTTACCTCTCCTGCAGTGTCTCATGGCCATTTTGCACATCCTGGACTCAGCAATGGTGGGACACGGTATTGTGTCCTTGGGAGGTTTCTTGACGATGTACCTCGTTCGGGTCTCCAGACCCCACTTATAGCCACAGGTTTTGTTTCTCCTGGTGCAGGCTCCCCACTCACTCCACTGCCCCACCTCGCAGCCCTCTGCACGGGTTAAACAGAAACATCGACGTGCAATGAAATCAGAGAATTGTTCTACAGAGGCAGCTCATAGATCAAGCTTTCTCACTGGTTAGGGCAGCTTTACTGGGATGCTATGACAAATTTATATATAGAGAATTTATTTTTTAGAGATAGAATGTTAGCTGTAGAGCAGTTAGTAGATGCTCATTTTTGCGATTATAATCTACAGGTAATGGAAACTCCAGATTATGTTCCTCTACAGTTAGAATCGTACACAAGAACAAAAAGCTGAGTACTTTTTATGTGAAAATGTCAGTCAACTAAAATACATATCCATGTATTAGCACTTAGTACTAGTACTTCCTTTTTGCTTAAATATTGAATCAATATGGCAGGAAGCCCAGGTTGCTATAATTGCAGCCTCAGGCTCCTCTGCATCGTTTATCTGATGTCTCTTATCTTCCATTTTGACAATGTGTAAAAATTTTTATGTGGGGTTCAGGCCAGGTGTTACTTTCTGCTGCAAGATAAAATCAGCATAAACAGGTTCTATGGTTTTAAAAATGGCATGGTTTCTAAAATCATCCATGGGAAAATTTTAGACTGGACCTGACAATACTTGAGTCCTCTGCTCATCCTCCGTTTCATTTTAGACAAGGTAAGTAAGTCTGGACATTTTCACCAAATATAAGCAGGAAAGTGAGTCCTCTATCTCAGATCCTGGATAAGTTTCTTCATATTGGCTCTAAAGTTGCTGTTCATGCTTTCTAAAATTAGCTTTTCTCTCCAAGCAGGGCTGTGGTTATCAATTCTGCCTGAAGATCTTTTCCCACCATGCTTTTTTGTTTTCATTCAATTTTCCATTAACAAGTTTTAAAACAGACTTCTTTCCCAATGACTGGACAAGTCTTTAGTCGGCCATTTTTCTATTGCTGTGTTTGCTCATGTAAAAGACATTATTTTGATATAAATCTATTCTGTTTTTCTGTGAAGGATTTCTTATCTGTAAGCCTAATTCACAAGAAATGGCAGCTATGCGTAATATGAATAGTTATTCTATATGATGTTTATGAATGTAAATATCAATTTAAAACATTTTTTGTTTTGTTTTGTTTTATTTTACGTACCTCCACACTCCATTGTGTCTTCCAGTGGGGCAAAACCCTCGGGGCACTTATCAAAACAGCGCCCTTTGTGTAGGTAAAAACCAGATTTGCACTTGGTACAGAAGTCTTTGCTGAAGCAGGACTCGCAGTTGTCTATCCTGCACCCTGGAGGAAGAAAGAGAAAAAATAGGAAAAGTAATTTGGGTCTTAGCAATCCGCTCATGTGGAGTTGATTCAGAGCTATATCTTCGGGGAAAAAACTATTGTAGAAGGAATTGTAGCCTCGCTAATTCAAAAATAAAACAGTCAATGATTTTTGATTAATTTTACTTGGGAGAATCACCGTAGTGTTTTTGACATCAGCTCCTTTGTTCCATACATTCCTGTTTTTGCTCAAATATAGTAAATCAAAAGTGTAAAACCAAAAAAAGAGCAGAACAGCAGAAAGGGTGCGAAACGGAGAGAAGCTAAACTCTACCTACAGGTTCATCCAAAACTACATTGGCAAACGCACCAGCTCACATGTTTTAACTACTGGGTGCTGCAAAAGGAATGACTGTGTCTGTAATGTTATCTTATGTCTCCCAACTGTTCATATCTGTATCTTTTTCCATAACCAAAAGATTATTGGAGAGTCAGCTTTTCATTAAACTCTGAATGATGGGTTGAGATCACAGGGGTGGTTTGGGGTCCCTCAGGTTTTGGCTTAAGCTTTGAAGAAGAAGAAGAATGTGGGTTCGTGACTGAAGAGCAGCAAAGACAGAAGACAACATCTTGCTAAGTAAATACAGAAGGGTTTCAAGGCAAACACAACTGCAAACTCTGTGTCTCACGCCACGCCCTGTCGACTTGCATGTCGCACAGAGCAATTCTTGCGAAGAAAGGCACGGTAATGTGTCATCAAGGTCCCTGCAAATGACACGTCAAGCGGAGCCAAATTACAACAACCAAACCAACAGGGCGACGCACAGCCCCACATGATTAGAAGGAGCCTCCCAGAGCTGTCTAATTTATGTTTCTTCTCAGAAACTCTGTGTAGCCCTGTGGACCAATACTCACAATCTCAAACCTAAAAAAACCAGCTTCCACTTGTTGCACAGGGGCTTCCAGGTAGATTGGCATAATTTGTTCTGATTGTTCACAACGCATAGACCTGTGCACTCCTTAAAATACAATCTTCAAACTGTGTGATTTTTTTTTTCAGATATGAGACAGACAGAGAATAACGGCTGCTCTTTTATCTGTGACCCTTGGGGAAGGGAAGGTTCTCACAATCACACCCCTTAATTACACCATCTCTAGCTAACCATCAGGCCTCCTCCACGACATTCCTGCAAAACGAGGGGGTCCCTCCCCGCTTCACTTTGAACCCTAAAGTATGGCCTCTGCCCACTCACTCTGGTCTCACGCTTTCCCGACCAGTCTAAACAAACTATGAACACGCACGTTTCACAATCACACACATACCAATAAGGTATGATTAGAGATAGGCCCACGCTACAGCAAAGCTTTGCTCTGGAAAACATGGCTGCCCTGACCATAAATCATCCTTCTGTAGTTTTCATCCTACCTTACATTCTACACTACCAATTTAAACACCTAATACAATTCTTAGGTGTTTTTTTCTTCTCTCTTGTTCTGTAATCTTAATTCAGAACCCTACGAGCCTTAATGATTGATCATAACATGTTCAGCTTTTTTTACCTTGTAAAAATTGTCAAGCATTTCTGTTTTGAAACCCCTCTGCTCTAAAACCTCTAAATAAAATCCAGTGTTATGAGCTCCATTAGGAAATATTATTGGGAAAGCGAAAGGAAGGAACATTCAATATCACTTGATCTATGTTATCCTTACTCTGAAACACGGCAGGGACAGCATCATGCTGTGTATACTTTTACTCAGGAGTTACCTGGAAGCTGATTTAAGTTGATAAGAAATTGAAAAGGGCCAAAATTCAAGGCAGTTATTGGAACAAACAGTGGAGGCACAATAACTAACCATTTAGCCAAGTTTTTAGATAAAATCATGGTCTTCAGACCTAAATCCATTGGAAAATCTGTGACAAGATTTACTAAATAGATTTCGTAAGATTTTCTCAACTGAATAAGACTTAATTTGAGCTGAATGAGACAGATTTTAGAAGTGGTTTAGAAAGAAATGCAGCTGAATTTTTTTCAATTGTGTGAGGAACAAAGTGCACCTTTATCCCGATTACACAAGTGTGCCAAACTGGTAGTCGGTACAGCCTAACTGCAACACAGTGATTGAGTTAATGCATTGCAAACTGAAAAGCTCAACGTGTTCTTTTCTATTTACAACATATCATAGACTTCACAGGCTTGTCATCACCTGAGAGAGTAGCTCTAATGCAAATTCTAAAAAAAAAATGCAGGATACAAAGAACATCTGGCAGAGCTCTTATGCTTTGAGCTTGTTGTGCAGATCTTGGTTATTGTAGGCAAACGTCACTAACAGAGCTGTGTAAAACGTTTAATCCTTCCTACAATTATAGCATTTATCAGAGTTTTGATTGAAGGGTGACTTTTGCCTTTATATCTCCAATGTAAACGGAGAGCATTGTAAATGCTTGTAAGATTGATGAAAGTACATGCAAAGGCAACCTGATACAGCAAAGATAGAGGAACATTGGATGAACAGAGATTATGGGAATGGTTTGGTAGATAGCTGAGTCCACCTATTAGCTAAAGAACTATTTTGATTACAGAGCGAAGATCCTGCACAAATCACTTGAAGCTCCATGTAAAGTAGTGCTAGAAACAGATATAGGAAAGCAGGTTAATTACCCTGATGGGATTAAGCTCAGGCCTTAACTATAAAATCTTCCTTTAGGTAATATAGGATGACTAATGAGAAATAATGAGGTGACTACACCCGGTGAAGGGCTCCTGTTCCTGAGACTTAAATCTATTATCTTAATTATCTCTCAGCCCGGTTCTTACTATGAGTTATTATATTATGGGCGCAAGTGGAAAAGCCTTATGACCAGTTAGAAGAACTGCAAAAGATGTCAATGAAGCTGTTGACAGTGACGCTTTCACCCGTTGCAATGCAAGTCCAGAGTGTCAGGTTTTACTTTTTCTTTTTGTGTCTTTCTTGAGCTTGCAAGTGAATCTAAAGCTAATAAAAAGACTCACTGGGTGGTCTGTACCAAGAACCCATTAGTTCTATCAAGGACACTTAAAGACATTTCTCAGCTTTGGCCAATTCATGTTATTTAGCAGACTCAGATCTCCATAAGCAATAAGTTAATCATTTAACATAAATATTCACTGTGTTTAGACAGATATTGAATTGGTACAACGCATTAACCTTGTTCCAGGTTAACTGTGCTGTAATATATTTAAGGCTTCACATGTAAAGACTTAAATGGCCAAATAGCTCACAGTTAGAGGGGCTCAGTCTATCTATCTATCTATCTATCTATCTATCTATCTATCTATCTATCTATCTATCTATCTATCTATCTATCTATCTATCTATCTATCTATCTATCTATCTATCTATCTATCTATCTATCTATCTATCTATCTATCTATCTATCTATCTATCTATCTATCTATCTATCTATCTATCTATCTATCCGTCCTTCAATCATCTATCTATCTATCTATCTATCTATCTATCTATCTATCTATCTATCTATCTATCTATCTATCTATCTATCTATCTATCTATCTATAGTTATGCTGCTATAGGCTTAGACTTCTGGATGACATAGGGACCCCTATTTCATCATTCTGCTTCATTCTATCTCTATTCTCCCAATCTGCAGAATCTGTTAGTTAAATCTCTAACGTTCTGCTCTCTCTGCTTTTTCTCATACTAGCTTTGCCTCGTCTGTTCCTGTTTGGCTGTGACACCATCCTGGAGAGAAATATCAGCTGTGCTGCTGCCATCAACACCTTTGTTTATAGATGTTCAAGATCAGCCTGTTTTCCACTGTAGTCCTGTTTCTTTAAATGTGACTGCCTGGATCTGACATGAGCTGGCTCGGAGCTTGTCTGCCTGGCTGTGTCTCCTGTATGGGGCTGCCTTTTTGTATCTCTGCTTCTTTCTCCTTGAACCCCAGTCGCCCTCAGCAGATGGCCGCTTACACCTCCAGAAAGAAACCTTCAGCCTTGTTGGAGTAACTTGGCGACTCAACTTTACCTTATTCCCAAGCTCTAAGTAATGGCCAGCCTTATAGTAACCTCATAGCATAAGCCAATCAAGGCAGAGAGAAGACCCACTCCATATCAGTATGATAAATGAATCACGCATGTACAAAGTCGCTATTCTTTCCTGCTAATACAAAGCAGGATGTAAATATGATGGAAATAAATCTTTGCATTTTATCATTTCATCATCATAATATCATTTAAACACTTTAAGAGTAAATTATGGAACTTTTAGAGTTTAATCTTTACCCCTTTACACTTACAAATTGGTTTCTGTATTTTTATTTTTTTTCCTTTTTCTGAGGTGTAGTTGACTTGATTAATTATTGCCTTTTTCTGAGTTTTTTAGCTAATTTTAATAGCTTAGCTAAACAGATTTGTTGGAAAAAGTTAAATGAAAGTTGAATATTTTTGTCAATAAATTATTTAGTCTTGCAAAAAAGTTGTATTTATCATTTATATTCATTGCTTGCTCTGTAAGAGAGAGCGCTCACATAACTTGTCCACTTATTTTTCTCCTATACCACTGCATTAGGTTGGGTATTCATTGGAACATATCTGTAAACTCTGTAAATAAAGAATGATTTTTTTTATTTTGATTTTAAAAGTTCTTTAAATTCAGCTATTTTGCTATTGAACAGTTTTCGACTCAAACTGTTTTGCCCAATAAAGACTTTACCAGTCTTAGACCATTACAGCAAGATGGCTTACATTGCAAATAAGCCTATTATTCCAACTGTGACCTCTAACCTAAGTTGAACAGCCCTGACCTAATCTAAGGGCTATAGGTCTGGCAAGACATGGAAGCTGTCTGGCTTTCCGTCTTCCAACTAGCCATGTCATGTAAGATTGGAGTTGGGAGAGGTTCACAGCAAAGGTTAAAGCTGCCATTTTCTTCCCGACTCTTTTTTATTTCCACTTGGTTGCTTCACCTCTTCCTAAAACAGCAATAGGTGAGGCAAAGTGGTGTTCCTGCCAATCAAGACC